GCAAAGGAAAAAAAAAGGAGTAAGCACAGATATATAAAATACAAAATGACAAAGGAGAAATAACTCAATGCAAATTCATTTGAAAAACTAGCTGAAATGAAAAAACACTATTTATAAAAACGGACTCCAGTAACATTATAATACTTAAACCAATATATAGAAAACGTATACAACTTATGAGAAATTATATCTACAACAAGTACCATGGGCAGATTATGTCATAGGAAAATCTACTAAACCTTAAGAACCAGATTATTTCACTGCTTCTTGAGTTGTAGGTTAGCAATATCCAGCATAACTTCTTGTGATGGGGGAAATACTTTATACCTGTGCAGTCAGTACCGTTATTACCAGCCAGGTATGGCTATTGAGTGAGCACTTGAAACATGGCTACTGTGACAAAGGGACTAAAATTTTAATTTATTTAGTTGTAACTTAAAGTTAAAAGGTCTTATATGACTGGTGGCTATTGTACTGGATTGTGTAGTTCTAGCTTATTTAAAAAAAAGTAGGAAAACATCAAAATTATTTTAATGAGGCATATAGAACTATGAAACCTAAATTGAATTTAAACATTGAATTTAAACATACACACACATGCACACACACTCACACAAACCTCATGTATGAATATTATTACAAAATTATGAACATTAGGACTTAGGATTAAGCGTATTTAAAATAACAATCCATCAAGACAAAGTGTTTTTGTTTTGTTTTGTTTTCTGGAAACTAAAAATAATTTAACTATAGAAAATTCATTTATGCCTCTGTAATTCCAGAACTTTGTGAAGTGGTGGCAAGAGGATTGCCTTAGTCCAGAGGTTCAAGAACAGCCTAGGCAACTTGGCAAGATCTCATCTCTACAACAAATAAATAATTAGCCAGTCATGGTGGCACACACCTATGGTTCCAGCTACTTGGAAGGCTGAGGTGGATGGATCACCTGAGCCCAGTAGGTCAAGGCTGTGTGGCCATGAGTGAGATTCTAACTCAAAACAAACAAACAAACAAAAACAAAAAAAATAAAGTATTGGAAAAAAGAAAAAAAAATCATAAGTGGAATTCAACATATCAAGTTAGCTAAAAAAGAAAATCATAAACTTTGACAAAATTTTATATACTACTGAAAAAATTAAACTAGAAAATAAGTAAGACATCTTCAAATTAAAAATATATATATTTGAGCCTGGCTCGGTGGCTCAGTCTGTAATCCCGCACCTTTGAGAGGCTGAGGTGAGTGGATTGCCTGAGCCCTCGGGTTCGAGACCTGCCCGGGCAACTTGGCGAGACCTCATCTCTACTATAAATTAAAAAAATCAGCCGGGAGTGGTAGCGCGTGCCTGTAATTCTGTCTACTCGGAAGGCTGAGGCGGAAAGATTGCCGGAGCCCAGCAGGTCAAGGCTGTGGTGCCCGGGAGCGGCCACTGCACTCCAGTCCAGGCGACAGAGTGAGACTCCAACTCAAAAAAATATATATATATATAAAATATATATATATATGTACCTCAGTACTAATGCCAGTATTTTACTCTTTGTCATAGCATTTTGTCTTTTAAATATATAATTCATATATATGTATATATGTATGTGTATATATATATTATATATAATATATTATATATATATATATATATATTTTTTTTTTTT